GTGTGTGTGTGTGTGTGTCTGTCTGTCTGTCTGTCTGTCTGTCTGTCTGTAGGTCTGTCTAATGAAATTTATTCTTCTTTGGGTTATGATATCATTTATTCATTTTTCTATGGGTTATTTTTATTGTTCTTAATTTGTGAGGTGTTTTTATCTTTTAGACATTAGATTTTCAACTTTCACCAATGTAGCTATTTTTTCTAGATTTGTATGATATCGTTGCCATATCACCTTCCCTTTTTATATCAAATATGATTTAAAAATATTTTATTTCTATTTTATGTGTATGAATGCATTGCCCGCGTGTGTATAAGTGCACCTGTGTTGTGCAATGCCCATGGAGTCAGAAGAGAGTGTCAGATCTCCTGGAACTGAAGTTACAGATGTGGGTCCTGGGAACTGAACCTGGGTCCTCTGCAATAGCAGCCAGTGCTCTTAACTGCTGAACCATCTCTCCACCCCCCCCCAGATTTTTTATATAATGTCTACATTTTCAGTTTTCTTTACGATTGTTTTTTTTTTTAATCGAAGTTGGATACCCAGTTGTACTAGAACAATGTGTTAAAATTTCCCTACTTTTTCCTGTAAACTGAGCATCCATCATTGTCAGCCATTAAATGTTTTATATACTAGGCTCTAGTTATTGATTCTCTGTCCTGTTTCATTGGTTTGTGTACAAAGATCATATTCCCTTAATTATATTACCTTAAAATTCTTTTAGTGCTCCTTTGGCAATTTTTCCTGTTTGTACATTTTAGAGCTTATTTTCACTCAACACTCCCCAGTGCTATTAGGATTCCAATTAGTATGCCATTAAATTTGGACTTTTTGAAATGTTATAGTTCTTTTTAGCAAAGAAATTGTGTTTCTTTCCATCTGTTCAGATCTGGATTTATATCATTTAATTAGGTCTGTTCTTTTCTTCTTATCTATTCAATGCTCTTTTTAAAAAAAATATTTTATTTTATTATTTTATTTTATGTGTATGTGTGTACTGCGTGCATGTAGGTAAGTGCACCCGTGTCATGCAGTGCCCGCAGAGGACAGAAGAGGCTGTCAGATCCCCTGGAACTGGAGTTACGGACAGTTGTTAGCTGCCATGTAGGTGCTGGGATTTGAACCTGGGTCTTCCGCAAGAGCAGTCAGTGTTCTTAACCACTGAGCCATCTCTCTAGCCCCGCTATGCTCTTTTTGAAATATTTCTAAAAAAATAATAGCTTTTTTCCTGTTGGCTGTAATACTTTTCCCATTTCCATTGCTAAGTGCTATTTGGATAGGATTATTGATTTTTTAGGGATATTTATCTTATATCTAGCTATTATACAGATTCTCTTGTTATTTCTGGTAAATTTCATTTTTATTTAATCTTTCAAATACTTACATTAAGCATTCCATTTTTGTTGCATTTAGTAGAATTTCAAATACCTAAATAAAAGTGCTGCTGATGGACTCCTCTCCTAAATGAGATTTCAAATTGCAATGTTTTTTGTACTCTTTTATATTTGCTGTTGATATTTGTTAGTTTATTATGTTTAAAGAGTTTCCACTTTTTTGAGTTTCCACATTTCCTCCAGGGCTTTTCTTAAAGAACAGAATAGTTGCTGTGTTTTATCAAATAGCTTTTCAACATCTGTTGATCAGTCAGTGTTCTTAACCACTGCATTCTCTCTCCAGCCCCGATTTTGTGATTTTCTTACATTCATCTCTCAAATGCTAGGATTATGGCATGCAACATTGTGTTCTGATACTCGTCCCCCCTTTTCTCACCCAGGTGCATAATCAAGTTTACCATGTGCCTAACATGGTGGGAAACATTTAACATGGATTATCTCATTTAATTGTTTAAACAAACACATGTGGAAATACTAATAGTATCCTTAGTTGGATCAAAGAAACTGAGTTTGAGAAAGTTTCAGTGTTGTAAGCAGTTAATACATGGCACACATAGAATTTTATCCAGAATCTTAATGATTATAGAGCCTGTATTTGTAATCACTACTTTATATTGCTCTAGTGTTCAGTGTTAAATACATGAACCTATGGTATTTAACGGTCCATACATCTCAGTGTACACAGACTCATTGACTAGCACTGCCTACCTGTTTCTTGCTTTCATCATTGATCCTTTGCTGACCAGTCCTGCATGAGTTTGCCAACTTCCCAGCTAAGCAGTGGTTGGCATGTTCTTCATGGAGGCATGCCCAGTCACTGCAGGAATGGGGTTATAATGTGTACAGAAGGCTGTCTGTCCCATGCTGGGCTGGGGATGGCAGTTCTTTCTGGGGTGGAGAAGGGGCAGGATTATCTACAGGGTTCCCATGGTGTGTTTCACAGGGGAGAATAACAGTTTGCCAGTGTTCTGGCTGGGTCATGGACTGTT